GCGGCCACCCCGCGCGCGGACTGGCACCGGGGACCGTACCCCGGGGCCCTCCAGCCCTGACTCCCGGCCGCCCCCGGCTCTGGCAGCGCACGGGAGAACGGATCCTACCGTGCCCCGGGGCGGGACTGGGGGCGCCCCAGGAGATGCGGCCGGAGGGCGGGTGCCGAGGACGCCGGCGTGCAGAGGCGAGGCTGCGGTCGCTCCCGTCACTGCCGGCTGACGAAGATGACCCTCTGAATTTTAATTTCCTCATCTGTCATAGAGGGGAAGGTAGTCATCCCTGCGTACGTAATCGCCCGGGCGAGGAGGCTTAAGTGAGGCATTCCACGGAAAGGGGTGCCCGTGGGCGGCAACGTACCTCCTCTCTCCCAAACATGTTCCAAATTCCGAATTCGGGTCAGTGAGCTGCCACTGTCCACCTTGTTCTTTCCAGGGCACCAGGAAGACTGGAGGATGATCCACGGAGTGGTGGTTCGGGTGTGGGTGGGGACTGTAGGTGTGTATGGCGGAGGGGATTAGCAGCTGGGATGAGACCCCATGCTCACTCTGCCGGGTTAGCTCAGACCTGGTTCACTTTAGGCCTCGAATGGGGTGGGATCCCTGTGTGCCTTCCCCAGCCTCCCGCAGGCAAGTCCTCCCTACCTTTACTTCCCCTCTGTATTTGCAGGTTGGGCTTGCTGAAGGAGCTGTCTGGCCTGCGGCCAGAAAGGCCTACGACTGTCTTTACAGAGCCCTGAATTTACCTAGCCCAAAGCCCAGAGGCCAGTGGTGACAACATGGAGGCCACAGCACAGAGCCCTGAACGAATGATTCAACAGAAACTCTGCTTGTCCTAGCTGGGGGGCTAACTTCAAGGCCTGAGCCTCCATTCCTGACCTCCCTGGAGAAAAAGAGGAGGGAAGTTTAGGTAGTGGGCACAATCTGTGATTAGGGCCCTCTAGGACAAAAAAGAAGAAAAAGAAAAGGATAAAAAAAAAAACCTTGGTTGGGAAGCAAAAACTTGCAGGTCCCCTCTCCAAGGAGCTTTCCCTGCGTGCCCAGCCTGGGCCCAGGTGCTTAGGGCACCCCTGGCAATTTCGGGGCCTGGAATACAGTAGGGATCTGTTGGGAAACCCACCACAGGGAGTCACAGTCTGTCCTGGATTCCTCTCAAGCTGATAACATTCCTTTATCAGGGCCTCCTTTGTTAGAAATCCAGCCCAGTGTTGTCCGATAGAACTTTCTGTGACATAGAAACACTTCATATCTGCACTGTCCAGTCAGAAGCCACCAGCCACAAAAGGTTATTAAGCGCTTGGAATGTGACTGGTGTGACTGAGGAACTTAGAGATTTTTTGCGATAGGGCACATGCGCTCACCGGAGAGAGACAGACAGAAAACGAGAAATCACCCTGGGGGTGGGTGTGATTTCTCAATCCCTTCTCCATTCTCCTCTCAGGATTTTGGGCACACATCCAGGACTCAAACCATGGTCAGCTATGTGGGAGCCCAGCGACATAACCAGTATGCCATCTGCTGGTCCCAGTAGTTGATTTTTTTTTTGGAGAGGTTTTTGCTATAGGGCGCGTGCGCTCGCCAGAAAGAGAGAGAGACAGAGAGATAGAAAGCGAGAAATCACTCCCCGGGGGGATGGCCACGCTGCAATCCTTTCTCCTCCATTCTCCTCTTGGGATCTTGGGCACGCACACACACGCGCCTGGCGTGAGTTTAAGCTGCCGGGTCTGGGACTTGAACTGCGGTCGACTACATGGGAGTCCAGCGACATAGCCATTACACTAACTGCTGGTCTCCCAATAGTTGATTTTTAATGAATTTAAAGAGCCACATGTGGCTAATGGCCATTGCATTGTTTCATCTCTTGCCATCCCAAGTGGGACAGGTGGTGGTGAGGGAGCTGGAGAAGGTACCAGGGACAAGGTCTAGAGGAGCCTGGGAGGCACTGGGGAGCCACTGAGGTTCTGAGCAGGGGTGGAGTGCAGGGAGATGATGTTTTAGGAGCATCACTCTGGCCAGGTTGTGCTGAACGGGCCGCAGAAGCAGTACAGAGAGAGGCAGAACATTAGAAGCTGCAGGTATTTCCCTAGTTCAGGCAAGGACTGACACTCCCTGATTTTATACCATGGCAGGGTTCCCCCATGCACCCTATCTCCATTTCTTCCCACCCAGCAGGTCAGGCTCTTGAGAATTCTAGGCAGAGTCACCACCTGGGAGATCAAGTCTTTGAGAAGTGCCCTTTGGTAAAGAAGTCCACGTTTTCTAGAAGCAGATGGCCTGTCTCCATTAGCCAGAAGGGCCTGTAGGACAAGGAGACCTGGGCCAGTGTGCAGTTGGGAAGGGCATGGAAGCCATGGTGGGGTTGAGTGTGGTCCGAGCAACCATCTGGCAAGCTTTCAGCTTTGGCTTCTGAAGAGGCAGCCTGACCTTGGACAAAAACATGGCCACAAGGACCTACATTTGATTTGGCCTCAGTCATTTACTTCCTGTGTAACCTCAACCCCAGTCTCTTCACTTTTAAAATGGGGCTCATAGTGCCTTTGGCTTAGGGCTGTTGTAAGAGTGAGAAATGCACGTATGACATATATCTGCCAAATCCTTGGTCTAACACAGAGCCTGGGATTGGGTTGCCAGGAAAGCATGATTCATTTTTGCATAGAAAAATACATCATGACTTTTCTGACGGCCTAATATATTAGGAGCCAAGTAATAACCTAATAATAGGGGGGCCGAAGTGCCTTTGGCTTAGGGCTGTTGTAAGAGTGAGAAATGCACGTATGACATATATCTGCCAAATCCTTGGTCTAACACAGAGCCTGGGATTGGGTTGCCAGGAAAGCATGATTCATTTTTGCATAGAAAAATACATCATGACTTTTCTGACGGCCTAATATATTAGGAGCCAAGTAATAACCTAATAATAGGGGGGCCTATAGGTGGCGTGGTGGTTAAGGGCATTGGACTCCCACATGGCTGACTGCAGTTCGAGTCCTGGACCTGGTGGCTTGCTTTCTCACTTTTTTTCTCTCTTTCACTCTGTCCCTCTCTGGTCAAGTTAAAATAAATAAACAAATAAATAAAGTTAAATAAACTAATTCTTTCAAAAGAAAGTGGTCTAACAATAACCATTACTATGAATAGGCAAAGCCTGGTCTGGTCCCCTGGGTGTCCCGTTTTTGTGGGCTCTTCTTTGACTTAGACTTCCTCAACATACACAAGCAGACATGTAAAAACCTTTAGGCATTGTAGATCCTGTCATTCCTACAGGCTGTCTGCACACCTGACCTGCCCCTCCCCTTCTCAAAACAACCCATTTCCCCCACTATAGGACCCGACACGTGAGCTAGGTAGAACCAGGACTGAACAGGGCCTGCCAGAACCTTCCCTGAGATGGACATACTGATATGGAGAGAGGGAAACCCTCTGTACAAATCCAAGTTTGGGCTGCTGGCAGCCATCTTCTCCACGTGGGTAGAACCTGTCCATGGAAGTCAAGCAGAGACAGGGAGAGTCTTGGGGACATTGGGTACTGTGCCAGGATTCCAGTTTTTGCCTGAGTTAAGTGCCCCTCCTGGGCTGGAAGCCGGGCCTTTCCTTTTTGGCTTAAGCTAGTGGGAGTATGGCTTCTGATCTCTGCAAGGAAGGCTCCTGCCTGGTACAGGCACTTGGGTCCTAGGAGTCCGCAGTGGTCAGGGGACCTGTCTGGAGCACAGAGCAGTCAGTGGCAGGGCCAGAATGTGGCCTTGTCTGGCTGGCTCTAGGTATGTGGCAAAGCAAACCACACATCCCAACCAACTCGTTCACAAGTATTCATTGAGCATTCACCATGGCCAGGCACCACGTCAGCGTGACATTCCTCCTCCACGCCTGCAGAAGGACTCTCCGTCTCCTGCACTTTCAGCTTCCAGGGACCATAGAGGCAGGGAACGTGAAAAACAGTCCTCTGGGAGAACAGACCCAGCCCTGTCCCTGTCCCCAGGCTGAGCTCCTACCTGCCGGCCGCCCAAAGTGGTTGCTGCAGTGATGGGTTAGGGGCAGTACGAAGGTCAGTTTAAAAGTGCTTTTGATTGTCGTCTCCCAGATGTCTGGATGTTTCTTTTCTTTACTTTGCAATCTGGCCCAGGAGAGAGAGGGTGATTGTCGTCTCCCAGATGTCTGGATGTTTCCAGTCTTTACTTTGCAATCTGGCCCAGGAGAGGGGGCGGGGCGGGAGCAGAAGGACATCAGATAATGATCTCTAAACATGGTCCACAGAATACTCCTGGGCCATGATGGTGTCACTGTGTCATCATGGATGACAAAATGGACAAAAATATAACCCAGGGGGTGAGCTTTTCCTGACACAAATAATTTTTTTCTTTTGAGAACTTTTTGCTACAGGATGCCTGCGTTTGCTGGAGAGACAGAGAGACAGAGAGACAGAAAGTGAGAAATCACTCCAGGGGGCGGGGAGGGAATGGCCACGCCACAATCCCTTCTCCTCCAT